CGGTACAATGATAAAAAATGGCTGTAGACATCGTTCCAAACAATTCCTTAAAACACAGTCCGTTATACAAGCGGTAGAACAAACAAAGGGAGGCAAAGATAGATATAACAATATTAAAAGTTATATGTTTAACTTATTCTTGGATCATTCTCATACAATAAATTAATATTTTTAATTGTCGACAAACTATTATATATTGTATTTTTTTTTGATGGGTGAAAATGTTATGGTAACCCCGCCTGCGCTTACGGGATACGCTCGCGGGGCACCAGTGAAGGGTGATAGATGAGAATGAAAACAGGCCAGTTAGCCCATCACGATGAATTCATCAGGAATTAACCATGATAGTTTCCAGGGTAACTGCGAGGAGGTCGACCTGGTTGGGTATATTGCTAACAATAGGATTCTCAGTCTTCATTACTAACAATCCCTTTCCTCCCTATATATTGTATTGTACCAGCTATTAACTGACCACTGCTAGACATAGGCCTTCCACATAAAGGGGGTTTGCCAATAGTTGCTACGCTTGGCGGGCGAGTTGCAAACCGCAGTTAGACATTGGTAATCTTTTAAAAGAGTCGTTGCTGTCTATCCCTCGGCCATTAAATTCCGTAAGTCACCTCTTACGACACGCACGGGACAGTAAGGGGAGGTTCATTAATATTAGAGCTACACGATGTCACATTATCTATCTATACCTACTTATAATAAATCTGTAGAGAGGTCAATTCTGTACATGAAATATATTTCCAAAATAACTATCAGGCGGTGATTAGTGATCGATATTGATGCCAAAAATGCAGTCTGTATGTTCGTTATAGAAACAAAAACTACTCGACGGATTTTAACGAAACTTGTTACAATTATTCTTCATACTCCTGGACAGGTATATATATATACAGTTATATAGTTATTTAGTTATAGGTATACTTTTCATCACACTACGATCAATAGGAACAGAGCAGTGAAGGGAAATGTTGGGAAAACGGGAGAAGTTACTCCATTTTTAAGCTTCCGTCGCGTGTGCAGCCTTAATGGCCACTTTTTAAAATGTAATAATGTCCACCCTTGCGACGCCGGGACGGACCGCTAGTTTTACATAAATCCAATAAGAATTGTAGTTCGATTCTCGGTCGAACTAATTCAGAAAACAAACAAAATAGAATATAAAGAAGAAAGGTGAAATATTACATTTATATTTACTTTATTATAACACGAAAATTAAAAAAAGAATTGACACAGTAACAAATAAAATAAATAATCAACGAATATAATGCCTAGACCTACTTCAGTTCTACCCTCTAATCTGTAACAATCTGTACAATATATGACACGAACTAGTTTACCTGATAGGAGTGACCAGGTTAGATATTTATATTTAATACAATTATAAAGTCGGTCATGTCAGAATAATAAATTAATGAAATAAACAAAGTAAGTACTTGAGGACTGTCTCAATATTGTACAGAACTGACATTGATGCTCCTTTCCACTTTGGGTTTACTGGCAGAGAACTCTTTTAGAGTTAAGCTCGCCTTTGCACATTTGACTACCTCTGTCATATGTATTGTATTGTATTAATTATTAGTGTGTGGGGGGAAAGGGATTGTTAATAATGGAGACTAAAAATCCCATTGCTAGCAATATACCCAACCAGGTCGACCTCCTCGCGGTTCCCCCTGCAAACTATCATGGTTAATTCCTGATGAATTCATCATGATGGGCTGACTGGCCTGTTTTTGTTCTCATCGGTCACTCTTCACTGGTGCTCCGCCAGCGTATCCTGTTAGCGCGGGCGGGGTTACCATTCCATTTACATCCACCAAAAAAAAAAATTATTAGTGTGTACATTAAAGTATTAAATAAATAAATAAATAAATAAAAAAGAAAGAAATATTCATGCTACTGTACTATCTTCACAGTACTGGTTTAAAATTTTTTATTTCGTATTTTATATAAACATCTCTTAATTAAGAAAATCTTCCTAAAACATTTTAAAACCTTTAGCACTTGATCTAGTTTACTTAATTGCACACACTAGGTCATTTATATTTACTTAACATAATTTTTATATCTTTGTCTACATTATAAATGCATATAGCAATTAAAAAATAATGTACAAATAAACTTTTAAAAGAGTTTTACTTCTTAAATTCCTAATTTAAAAAAAAATCCAATATGCCAGTATTTGGGATCGCAAAATCGATCATGTTTCATTCAATATGAATAGGTGATTCAGACTTCATTTTGTATAAATTAAGTATTAAAAAAAACAGATTTCAATCGTGACAAAAGCAGTTATTTTGATTACAAAACTAAGCTACTGAAATGATTTTAATAAAATTTCTATGTGACTAATTTGTAAATATATTTTTTCAGATAAAAAATAATTTTCCAAATCGGTTTATAAATGAATCTAGACGAAAAAATGTTGCATATGTTATCCAACCAAGACTAAATATAGTGAAACATGGCGCAAAATTTCAAGCGGTTAAATTTTATAATAAATTACCCACTGCATTAAAAACTATTAAAGATTGGAGAATTTTGAAAATAAAACTTTATACTCTTTTGTTGGAAAGGTGCATCTACTCAATTAATGAATTTTAAAATACTCTTTTAATATTGCCATTCCTGGGGACTTAAGTGATATACCTCTGTACCCTGTAATTTCATTGCTATGTCCCACCCTTCAAGCCAAAACACAGTTATGCAAACACAACTGCTTCAAGATAGAAAAATATTTATATAATTATAAATTTTTTTGTTATAAAATTATTTATTTATTTAAATTTTTATGCACAGTAAAATACTATGTCCATTTTGGCGGACTTAACACCAGACGGTGTTCTCTACCAGTCAACCATTGGGCAAACCGAGAAATATGTAGGCGGTGCATTTTTGAATAGAGGAAAGATAAAGCAATATTATAATTACGTTCCTTAGAGAGTCTAATTCTATTTTAATAATACTGTCACTGGATATTCGTTGGAAGGTATGACTTTTACGTTTAAATAGAATAGAATAGAATACAAAATAATTATTGCTCGAAAAACACATAATTATCTGCCCTTCATACGATTTCTGTTTTTACCTAATGGTTAGCTGGTAGAGAATGCCATACGACATTAAGCTCGTCATTTGTACAAAGTTTTATTGTGCAATAAGGAAAAAAATATTTAAAATAAATAAATAATTATAATTATAATAGAAAATATAAAAAAATATTATATATAATATAAAAAGTGTCTCGTATTAGGCAAAAGGAGCTGGCTCAGCTGATGCTGTGAGTGTCCCAGTGCAGTGTGTACAGCTGCACAGCGCTGGTTTTCAGCCAGTCCCTCTCTTATTAAAATACAATAAATTTTACAAGTAGCGTATAGTATACAAGTTGGACCTTGTATACTGTACGCTAGTTCCGGTTATTACGTGCCCAAACAAAAATGTGTAAGTATATACATATGCATATCATATAATTATGTAGGTCGCCGATTGAAGATGGGTGCTTATCATATCGCATTAATTGAAAAAATGCAAGACCTTAATTTGAAATATTGTGTCAGTGAGATCTGAATTAACAATCTGTTAATAATAATTTTTTAATAATCTTATATATAAAATTCTCGTGTCACGGTGTTTGTTACAAAACTCCTCCGAAACGGCTTTACCGATTTTTAAGAAATTTTGTGTGCATATTGGGTAGATCTGAGAATCGGGCCAACATCTATTTTTCATACCCCTCAATGATAAGGGTGACCCACCCCAAAAAATTTTTTTTATTTTTTTGACAAATTTTTCCATTTTTATTTTATTTATTTTTATTATGATTTAGCATTGAAAAATACATACAATCTCAAATTTTCACCGTTTTACGATCAACTCCTGTTTTTTAATCGTGATTTTTATATGCTGCAATAGGGTTGCAAGATGGCAATCCAATATAATAATTATAGTACGATACATTTTCATGTATAGTTCTAAAAATAATGTATATGGTAAAACAACGTTTGCCGAGTCAGCTAGTTTAATAATAATAATTTATGTTTGTTTGTAACTAATCGTTTCCTTCCAAACTTTATAATTTCAACAGTGACTGCTAGCGTTTAAATTGAAACACAGCCCTATCATCGTACCAACTAATACGAAAAGTCAGGGGAGAGATTATTGTTAGTTATGTGGACTACCAGTCCCGTTGCTAGCAATGTACGCTATCAAGTCGACCTCCACGTGGTCCTTCCTGGAAACCATCTTGCTGAATTCCTGGTGTATTCATCACGATGGGCTAACTGACCTGTCTTTCCGTTCTCACCTATCATCCCTTACTGGCGCCCCGCCAGCGTATACCGTTAGCGCAGGCAGGGTTACCATTACATTATCATTAATTGAAAAACATTACGAAAAGCCTGTAAATGTATTTATTTGTTTTTATTTTTTCAAAATTTACAGTCTGGAAGTGCGTGTTTATATTGTGTCAGTTACTGACTCTATTTAAAGATGCGTTAGTATTGACCCACTAGTGCAATTGTATAAATAAATTGATTTCAAGTTAGAATCACCGTCGCGTCTCTATTTACACGTAGCGGGTCGATCAGCAGTTATTATTTTTTGGCTCGAGTTCAAAGGCTCCTATCCTATCTTCATGTAAACAAACTTGTAATTTTTTCCCACCACATAGGTGATAAATTTACGAAAATACTCAATTGTTTTTGTCTTTTGTGTTCATAAATTTAGTTTAAATAATTTTAAATTTCGATTCAGTGCTGATGAGTCAGTCAGGACTTCTCCATTTTTTATTTGTATACTCGTAAATTGTGGATGTAAATTTTCCGTGTTTATAAAATACAACTTTCCCACATTAAACTTTATCTTGCTGATGATCAGCATCGATAACGCGACATATTGGAAGCGATTTTTCTTTTATTGCCCGTTATCTCTACTATCACTGATAAGTTTTCTTCAATGACTAATTATTGCGTATATAAACGAAATAAGATCCGAACGTTCCAATATTCGCACAATACGTTCACGGGAATACAGTTCTTTAATAATATAGACTGGAATCATTATAATTGTATTTTAAGAAATTTAATTCATATTTGGAAATAGTTTTGGTTTTTTTTTATTAAAACAAATAAATTGTATTAAATAATACATCAATTTTATTAAAACGTAAGTACGTAGTTTATTTTCCAGATTTTTTTTCCTGTAAATAATAATTCAATCTAGAATTTAATTATATTTATTATTAATTATTATAATTATTCAAAATATTAATAATAAAATTGTGAATAATGAATTTGCTTATTTATTGACGTCTTAATAGTTCAATCAATATTTTTAAATTTAGTATATGGTTGTACATTTGATAAAAAATGACAATTTAAATAGAATTTTTTAATACATTAGCTAAAATACAGTTTTCAAAGATTGTATAACCTAGCATCTTTATATTTATCGGACACAATAAGGAACTCTAATAGCAAATATTTACAAAACTATCAGTTACAACTGTACAAATAATATAAATATATATTTGTATGTATTTAGGCCAAGTCCATAACACATATTTCAAATGATTATCAGACTGATAACGTTCAGTCTTCTCACAATGCTGAATGATATATTATAATAGAATGTCAAGATCTACATGTACCTGTATTTTTACTACATATAATTTGTCTAGGTAGTTACATATATTATATATTGTTACATATAAGTGTATTCTACATGTACCTGTATTTTTACTACATATAATTTGTCTAGGTAGTTACATATATATTGTTACATATAAGTGTATTTATATGCAACGTAACCTCATTTTCAAAATTTGACTAGAAATAAATTGTGTACCTAAATCTATGAGAGTGAAACCTTTTTAAAATTTCATCGCAAAAAAAAAATCATACACATAAATAAAAAAATGCACTCGAATTGGAATCTCTCCATCATTGAAGACTCTTAAAATGCCTCTGATTGCAGATGTCGTGGTGTGCTCTCCTTATACTGTCTGCGGCGATAGTCTGCGTACACGGGCACGGCAGGGTCCTGCAGCCACCTTCCAGGGCATCAGCTTGGAGGTACGGCTTCCCGACTCCTCCCAATTATGACGACGATGGACTCAACTGCGGTGGATTTTCCCATCAGTGGACTGTCAACGGTGGCAAGTAAGTCTCGTTTGAATTAAAATATGCATAATTTGATATAAGTAATAAAAAAATTTCAAATAAATTGTTCCTTCCAAAAACAATACCTTTAATCGCTATACTTAACGAAACTAAGTCATATAAAATAAAAGCAATAATCAAAATTGATTCAGAAATGGTATTTGGTAGATATCAAATAATTAAATTACCGGAACTACCATTTTTTTTTTTTTTGAAACATACATGGAACAAACTGGAACCTCTTCTTCCCAACTCCTTACTAATTAATATTATAAACCTGAAAGTGAGTTTTCGACCTCTTGATGCTATAACATTTCAACAAATAGCCATGAACTTAAGATGGAAGTAGACTCCTTCTAGTCTCGGCCGCAGACAAAGTCATGGGTGAAAACTTGTATATTAATTTTAGGTGCGGTATCTGCGGAGATCCCTACGACGCCTCCATCCCGCGCCCCCACGAACTCGGCGGCGTCTATGGTCAGGGTGTAATCGTCGAACATTACTTACCCGGCTCCGTTTTCACTGCCACCGTCGACTTGACCGCCTCGCACCGTGGCTATTGGGAGTTCAAACTGTGCCCTGAACCTGAGCGAAACGAGCAGGAATGCTTCGATCAGTACATCCTAGAATTAGAAGATGGCGGAACCACATTCCGCCCTGACAGGGGCAGCTCGAAATACGAAGTCAGTTATCGTCTCCCAAGCGGATTGGTTTGCGACCACTGTGTACTCCAGTGGAGATACACGGCTGGCAACAATTGGGGAGATTGCAACAACGGCACCCACGGTCTTGGATGCGGGAACCAGGAGCAGTTCTATGCGTGTTCAGATATATCTATTGGAGTGTCGAAGAATTTCGAAGCAGAGGACTCCCCGCCTGAAGGATACGAGAGGATACCATATCCGTTGTTCTATTATTTGAGACACGGGTATTTCGATGCTCAACAAGGTAAGCGTGATAATGAGATTGATAATGATATAGAAAAGGAATAAAACCACATGATAATAAAATCTTTAGCCATACAAGAGTGTAGTGTATGATAAGTAATGAAATAGGTATTTCAAAACTCAACGTTTAATATAGCATTTTGTTGCAGTATTATTTATAATATTTGTAAATAAATAAATTGTATTTTATGTTAATTAATTAGGTAATAATTAGGTATACATTTACCTACTTACAAGAACTGATTAACTTTAGGTGTAGGTTCTTGATTACTGTATCTAATGGCTGTAGGCAGGAGTTATAAATATATAAATATTATTTTAATTAAATAAATAAAAGTTAAATTTATTGTTATTTGTAAGATATTTATTAATAAAGTGTTAATTAGTTTTAAATGTATATTAATTTTATTCCTTCTGTCCCATTATTGAAATATCTATTTATTTATGTGCAGACAATAAGGTGTCAACATTTTATCGTATATTTTACATGAAAAGAAATAGACGGCATAAAAACTTGAATGATTATGGAAACTCTGTTTATTGTTAATGCTTTATATATAACATTTATCATATTAAAAGATATAAATTTATCTTAAATGCAACGTTTAAAATAACAAGAATTCAACCATAGTAGAAGCAGACGGTTTTTATATAGAACTTGCGAATATAAGTAGGTTCATCGTTCTGGTTAAAAACAGCCAAACAGATAGCATATGTATTAATTCAGGGTGTGCTCTACTAACTTACTTCTTTCAAATCCGTCCAGTCAATGGCAAACAAACAAACATGCAAACATTGTCACAGTTTAATTTATAATGAAGACTATAACGACGACCATAGATATTAGAATTAGATAATTGGCAATTATTATAAAAAAAAAAAATCGTAATGTCTATTACGTTTGCCCCCACTGTCATCTATAGGGTTCACATTTTCTTATAAGGATAAAAACCATGATAAAATCGAAATAAAAATAATTTTATTTCTAAAGTGGGAATAAATTATATACATTTATAAAATTTCATAAAAATCAATTGAGTGAACATCGAAAGGGAGGAGGGAGACTTTGTACAAAAGTCGTTTGCTTGGGTACCTTTGTCCCATTCGTGTTTCAACCATGAAGCAGTTGTGTTTGCATGGCTGTGTTTCGGTTTGAATGGTGGGATATGGCGTGAATTTACAGGGTACAGAGGAATAACACCTGAGTCCTCAGGAATGGCAACGCATGGAGGGTATCATGAGCGAATCAGTAGTATACTCTGTTATGTCCATGGTACTGCTCATGTCTGTAGGCGACGGTTACCACTTTCCATCACGTGGGCCGTCAGCTTGTTTGCCATTCTAAGTCGTATAAAAAAAATTAACACTTTTGTCAAAAGACAGAAGTTAAGCATGTATTTTTTTACACAATGTTTTCATACATATAATAGTGTCGGGATACTGGTATTATAATAATAAGAGAAAAAGAATCTCAATTCAGAGTAACAGAGTAGCGAAAAACCTTAAGTCTCTGAAATGGCGCCGTATGAATGGTACTCGTATAATAATTATGCAGTGGAATTAATAAAACTTAAAAAAAAAACTTTTTATTTATCACCCATCCCTACTAACATTATGAATGTGAAAGTGAGTTTGTTTGTTTGTTACTTTATTGAACTTTAACGGATTAACCAGTCACTATGAAATTTAATATACACGTATTAAGTATATATATAGGATGGAGATGAATATAGACTACTTTTTATCTCATTCTATAAACAGATTCCTATCACGCGGACAAAGTCGCGGCTAAAAGCTAGTAATTTATACAATTTCAAAAATTAGAAATCTATATATAAAGCATGACACAGATCCGCTTGTAACGTGGTACTTGTAACTTGTAAAGTTGGAATCTGGATAGATGATTCTGTATGAGCTCATTTTTCCTCACATGATGAGGCAGTTAAGCCAGTTTAGGGTATAACCAGTACAATGTCATTCCATGATATTCATATATAAACGACATTTCCCTAAGACTTCTCATTTGTTGAGAACACAACCTGTTCACGAGTCCAACTCATAGAAACAATTTCCATATGATTTTCAAACTGGCGACCGTTTCATCCAAGGTCTCCTGCAACTGCTCCGTCATAGTGCTCGTCCAGCCCACTCAGCACCAACGGCTGCCAGGAAAAAGAAAAAGGCCCACCGAAAAAAGAAAAAAAACATACCACATAAACGGAAAAAGGTACGCGTATATTGTATGTTTTTTTAATTTTACTTACACATGAGAAATTTTGGAAACATGTTTTCTTTCTTTCTTTCTTCTGTTAGGAATACCCTATCGGTTCAATTTCCACATGTTTCCCCCTGGAAACCATCGTGATTAATTCTTGCCAAATTCATCACGATGGGCCAACTGACTTGCTTTCATTCTCATGTATATTATGTCTTGCTGGTGCCCCGGCAGCGTATACCAATATCGCAGGCGGGGTTACCATTCCATTATCATACATTAAAAAAGATTGTTTGTTTACATGTTTGTATGTTTGTTACTAAATCACGCTTAAACGGCTGAATGGATTTAAATGAAATTTGGTATTAGGATAAATTATATCCTAACTTCACATATAGAATATATACAGGATTACGCGAAAAAAACAGTCGTAGATACATTAGACAGATTTCCTAGACACATTAAGATTAAAAATATTTATTTAGAAGAGTGTGTCTATAAGTAATTTTGCTTCGCAACAAGCAGTTTTTTTTTGTATCCGTAAAGAAAATGAATTGTTTTAATCGTCAAAATTAAGATCCTCTTTTTAACAATGTTTAAATAAAATACATATATATGTACATATATGTTTAACCAGAGGGAGACTTTCTACAAAAATCGATTGCTTGGGTACCTCTGTCCCATTCGTGTTTCAACCCTGAAGCAGTTGTTTGCATGGCTGTGTTTCGGTTTGAAGGGTGTGATATGGCGTGAATTTACTGGGTATATAGGAATAATACCCAAGTCCTCAGGAATGGCAACGCATGGGAGGTATCATGGGCGAAACAGTATACTCTGTTACGTTCATGGTACTGCTCATGTCTATAGGCGACGGTTACCACTTTCCATCAGGTGGGCCGTCAGCTTGATTGCCATTCTAAGTTGTATAAATAAAACCTTTGAATTATATTACACATGTCAGTGTGTTCGGAACCTCATACAATCAAAAGAGTATATCAAATATAAAGTTCCGCATTTAATACCTTGTAAATACCTATAATAATATCATAGACAAATAATCTATTATGATAACCTATGGACTCTGTCCATAATCTGAGTTAAGACTTTAATATCTATGACAATACGATCAGGAAATAGAAAAGTGTCGGGGAAAAACTAATTTATATATGGAAGGCCTTAATTAGTGGCTTCACAATACATATATGTACGTAAACATTTTGTATATACGCAGGAAACTTCAACTGTTTCTTAAAAACGGCGATCTCAATAATTTTTACACTAGATACAAATACAAACTTGCCGTTCCGATGTATCGTTTAGAAAAAGTTAATAAATCTTTTATGGGAACGGGCTTTAAATGTTATATAATAAGATACCGAAGGATATTTTGGATCTACCTTTGAATAAATTTATAACTCTTATAAAAAAAACACTTATTAAACAAAGCCTATCACACACTAAACGATTACTTGAATGACAAGCGTGCATGGTGTTAATCGATCATACACGGGCTTTCTAATGATTACGTAATTTTAGATATATTTAAACAAATATATGTTAATGGAGATTTAAAAGAGTAGTTGTTATTTTTTTTGCGAGCTCTTCCCAACAAATAATAATTTTTCCAACCCTACAGTAGCTATAAAAAAAAAATTACGATTTAAAAGTGCTAAAAGCATTTTTAAATCGTAATTTTTTTTTATAAAGTATATTAACAAGTATTTATTTATATATTAACAAGTAAGTATTTCAGTTATTATTAAAGTATTTTTAACAAGTATATTTGAATAAAGATGGCTTGAATTTAATTAACCTATTAATAAAAGCATTTTTTTATACAACTTAGAATGGCAAACAAGCTGACGGCCCACCTGATGGAAAGTGGTAACCGTCGCCTATAGACATGAGCAGTACCGTGGACATAACAGAGATTACTGTTTCGCCCATGATACCCCCATGCGTTGCCACTCCTGAGGACTCAGGTGTTATTCCTCTGTACATTACAAAGCATTAAGCATATCCGAAGTATATACAATAAGTAAATTTGCTCACGACTATAATCGTTAATGGGATAATCAGAGGCAGTCGACTGTTGCCATTGTGATTAACATTCCACACGACTTCCGAAATAATTTGGTTTGTTGAGGTCGTTTTTTATCACTAGAGAGTTAGTTGAATTTAATCTGACATAGTCTTGCAACGAGGATTTTTAAAAAGTGAAATTATAATTTCAAATATATAAACAGTACCCATACAAATGTAAAATTATCTAGTAGTAGGTACCTATATAGTAACTAATAAGTAATTGTCGAGTTCCTTGCGGATTATTCTCAGCAGATTTTTTTTTATAAAACTTAGAATGGCAATCAAGCTGAAGGTTCACCTGATGGAAAGTGGTAAAAGTCGCCTATAGACATGAGCAGTACCATGGACATAACAGAGTATACTGTTTCGTCCATGATACCCCCCATACGTTGCCATTCCTGAGGACTCAGGTGTTATTCCTCTGTACCCAGTAAATTCACGCCATATCCCACCCTTCAAACCGAAACACGGCCTTGCAAACACAGCTGCTTCACGGTTGAAACACGAATGGGACAGAGGTACCCAAGCAATTGATTATTGTACAAAATCTCCCTCTGGTAAAATAATACCATCATTTCGAACCCAGCAGTGGAATCATAAAAAAATATCATTTAAAAGTAATAGTAAATAAGTCTATTTAAAAAAAAGATTGTTTCTAGTATATTCTCTTAGATTATATACATAGATAGTCTCAAAAACGGGTCAACTTTTAGTCAGCTAATTGTCAAATTAGCCGACTTATTTTTTATCAGTGTTCTATTAACTTAAGCATACAATGTATCTCGACGTATTATTTAATAAATAAAAAGTTTTTGCGTATTAAAAAGATGCAAAAATTATAAGAAAAAAAAAAATTTCAAACTTACAAAGGAAACACCGATAATTATTAGACGTACTCCAAAATGATACCACTTCTATAGTTCCACTAGTGTTTTTTATATTTATTTACATAACAAAATTATAGTTATAAAACGTTACACGAAGAGATACAAGAATGGTATGCAAAAATTCAAATCATTCTTTTTCTTTTTTTAAATATACTATATG